TGCTCCTGTTGCTCCTCAATCTCCAATTGGCTGTCGTGTGGGTGCTCGTGTTGCTCCTCAATCTCCAATTGGCTGTCTTGTGGGTGCTCCTGTTGCTCCTCAGGAAGCTGGGAATCGTTCTCCAGGAATTGCGGTAGTGTATCTACCTCATCGATGTTCAGTGATTGTCCAGGCTGATGTGTTGCCCTGCCCTGTGTCTCATCAGCACTCCCATCAACACCATGAGCACATTCCTCCTCAGCCTCCTCATGTTCTATTGGTTCCTCCTCTCCTTCCTCCATTTGATCTAACTTACCTTCCTGCTCCTCCACCTCCTGTTCAAACTCTTGACCTGCCACTGCGCACATACACATTATATTACTATTTCACCAGCAGTTCATTCCCAACATAAACAGCACACACATGGCTAGCCTTCTGCGGTTGATCTCTCGAAGACCTAGGGCACAAATGCATAATTATACTTTAAAATGCAGCATGTGCAGAACCAGCCCCTACTAGCTTATATCAATTAAGGTAGTGACTTGGGATGCACTGCGGCCACGGGTGGCCTTTTTCTTTCCTTGCGCCGTCAATTGGTTTGTTGCCTGCAGGCAGTCTACGAATGGCTGTTGCAACAAGTTGATCCACCTAGGCTACCTAGCTAGGTACCTAAAAAGCACGCCACCTTCAACTTGGCACGGATGATTTCCTTCAGGATGTGCATTTTTGATTTCTCGGACCTCCAAGCACTTCTACAATGCAACAACAAAACTTATAATATATGACTCTGACAAAGGTCAGGCCTCGATTTGTAGTTGGCTTGGAAACGAACCATGATGTAAGAAAAGAATGCCCTTTGAATTGCACTTTCCTGCTCTGCCCAGGCCTGCAATCGATAGATATGGACTCTGTTGTTAATATGCACGCATAGACGGCATTATAAGTTCTTGGCTAAATGCTGGGGTCGGCCACGAAGACGCGGGTTGAGATTGAACCGCATGGAGGCCCATGTGAGGGACTCCTGGAATGCAATATTAAGTTGTGGGCAAATTCATGACAGTGCATGCGCACATACATACACATAAAATATAGCGAATTAGAGCAGTCCTTCAATTCTGTGTCAACTGGCAGTTGATCGGCAAAAGTGGCAAAATACTCAACAAGGTAGCACGCATTGTCCTGTTCTTCTACCTGATGATTTGATTTTCTGTTGGAAACAAAGCAGTCACATCACAAATCCCAGACAACTGACGCTGGCCTCGCTTTCCTTAATACTCTCGGACGGTTTGTCGCTGTCGTCAAATCTCGAAAGGAACTCCCACCGTGGCACCTGAGGATTGTTTAGTCCACACCACATGCATGTGTAAAATTGATGGATCAACATGTAGTTCAAACTTGTATGACACACATCATGCATACATATGCATCAATGCACACCAGACCATTGCCCACCTTGCTCTCCCTCAGTGCGTTGGGTTTCATTCGAGACTGCAAAACTTTCCGTCGCTTTGCCACATAATCTGCATCGGTTAGAAGATCTTCAAAGAAGGTCTGGAACACACGATATCAGGTGTATGCAGCATGCATGCAGCACACGATGCAAAATGCATAGTCAACAACAGTGATTGAAGACCTGATTTGCTCACACGCTCTCCTTCAGGAGCGCAATCTGCTGCGCAGATGATCGCATTGCAGCAAAAAGCGGCAAGAGCGACAGATCTGACAACCTACCTTATTTGAGCCCCTGCAAAGCCATCCGGGGACCCTTGACATGTACGTCGACTTGAATAATGATTAGTTAGATCTTGTTTGAATTAGCCAGATAGAATACCACAGATACAGAAACTCTGACTGTGTGTGGAGGGAATGCGCACCAGCAGGAAAATGGTCTTCCTCCAAGGCTTCTTCCAACAATCCTGGGTGATCCGGTCGATCGATCATTAGGTGAGCTTTTTGATGATCGCATGAAGCCGAGTGCTGCGCTTTGACGCAATGCTCGCTTCATTGAAGATCATCTTTTACCTGGGCCAACATTTTATAACAGTTAATACACCTATCTCTCACAAAGAACTGGTGCACCAAGATCCTGTCAAGGTGCCCCTGAGTACCACCCAAGCGACCAAAATTCAGGGTTTTATCACTGTATGACAGTGAATGTCATATCTCATCATATCTCCTATAGTTCCATCCACCTGTTTCCGTCAAGTTGCACACGCTTGGGAAGGCAAGGAGGCCACCATCGCCATGATTGGCGCAAGTGAGATATACAAAAGACTAGGAAGACATGCATGCATGATATAGGCACGCACATGTTGATATCGATGTACATCGATTATCATGACGCATCCATGCATACAAGTGATGATGTGTTTGGACACTACCGGTGATCAGGCTGTTATTGAGCCCGGAAAGACCTCAGATCCACCTCCTGTCACAGAGCGAAATCACGGTTTCCTTTGAGAAATGCTCGAGTCACGTCCTTCATTTTAAAAATGAAGGAAGACCTTGAGGGTATATATATATGCATGCACAATCACGAATGGTTTGTATGTATACTATAATATATTGTTGCAAGGCAAGGTGCACAAGGTAATATACTGACAACAAAAACACTTAAAAGCCAGGTGGGTACTGATCCAAACCTGTGGGGTATCCCATGCTGGTTCAGTTTGAGAGCATGTCCTGTACTGGACCCAGGCTATTTGCACATGGTTTGAAGTCTCTGCTCTTTGCAACCATTTCCTTTCGGTGACCCTTCACCAATTGCCCACACAAACAGGCCACTCCTCCATGATCCATCATGATCCATGGACTGTGACCTGCCCTTTTCCACAGAAGTTTATGTTAAAGGAGTGTATGCACAATGAATGAACGCTTTTCAATATCTATAGGGTTGCTAGCTGCTATATGTTGTATCGGGAAGATGCTGAAAACAAGTTGCCATTGCCAGACTTCGTCTGGATGCCCACCATGAGTTGACTCAATCTCTGTACAAAGAATAGGACCAGACACTTTTGAGGCTTCCATGGATGGATGAGGCTTTATTGTGAGCTCAGTTGCGTTGGCTCATCCAGTGAGTTGCACTGGTGTCATATCAAGGTTTGCTAGCATTGGATGCCTCAGCCAACTTAGCATATGGTACCACAGCGATCCACACCTTCGCTGTGCAGGCTATGTGAATGAGCTGAATAATCGCAAGGCCTTGCACCGTGTTATGTTTTTCTTTTTTCCCCGGCGCGTGGTAGGTGCTGAGGCTGGGACTTGGCCAGAGAATCCTCTCAAGCACCCTGAGTTTGGGCAACGGTTTCCAGGTATGCTTTCCTCTCATTTGAGAGGGCCTCCACTTGCCGTCACGGACTTGTATGTATGTTTGGCTTTGTGCATGGGCTTTCCACCTTTCTCACCTTCAACAAATCAAGTCCCCTGCCGCCAGGGGCTGACAAGAATGAAACCGCCGGTGAGGGACCAGGAGGAGGTGGGGTGGTGGCGTTGCGGGGCGCCGACTCGGTGGAACGTGGAAGCGGCATGTTCAAGTCATGTTCTCCGGGCTCCTCCCTCGTTGGGAGGACTAGTCGCACCTGGAAGCACCTGATATGAGCAAAAAGGGAGGGACGCGGATCGCGATTCCCTGCATCCTGCACCTTCATATCAATGAATGATCAGAAGACTGTACCTCCATCTATAGCTTTCTTTTGTCTCAATTGATGAGGGGTCAGTCAAACAAGAAATCGTATGACATTCGTTCCAGAAGTTAACATTCCCTAGGGCTCCAACCCTATCCTCAGGTCGTTAAACCCCCCAGACCCACCCTAACCACCTTGTCAGGAGGTGGTTGGAGCCCTAGGGATTGTGTGGGAATTTAACATCCGTACTTAGACTGTTTAGGCCCCAAGGGCCGGTCGAAGGGTTGGAAAAGATGGCATTTGCAGATCAATCCCATCTTAGATAGTGCCTTCAATGAGGTCTTGCGTTTTCTGAAAGGTCTTGCGGTGGTGAATCTCACAAGGATTGATGGTCCGATCGTGACTGAACACAGTAGTATATACTATATACCTCTGTTTCCAGCAAGCGACTGCTGAAGTTCTTCATTTAGTCTACCTCTATCGTGTGACTCAGCTTTCCGTGGAGAACTCAGCCATTCGGCCATAGGCGGGGCCTTGGCACAAGCTCTGCCAACAGTTGCGCACAACTCGTTGGATCTCGTTGGACCATATCAGGCAGCTCAGGGTTTTGATGCCCCCTTCATCAATACGATTCTGAATCATTCCATGCATCAGAATTTTGCGCATCAACTTGGTCGATCCACATCCACTGAAGAACGGGCTCTGTTCGGCTCACCATGACGAACGCCACGTGATGCCGAGAGAGGCAAACTTATTGGCTTGTTCCCACACGGTAGCGAGACTGTCCAAGGAGAACGCCGAGCAGTGCATTTATTTACTGTACTGCTTTGACCAGAGGCCTGTTGGAAGAAGTTCAATCTCGTGCAGTGGGAATGGCAGTGGGAGCGTCGCCTTTAATGCTCCAAGGGTTTAACCCCGCTGGCCGCCTAGCTTCTACGTCTCCGCCTCGCCCAGAGATCCTGCAGCATGTGGTTTATGCGTCTGCGCCAGCCAATGGTTTGTTAGCAAGGGAGTGCGCAGCTGCCATTCCTGCAGAAGCAACAGCCTCTGAAGCAATGCTTTGCATTGACATTCTCTCCCCACACAATCTCCTTTTGGTTCAATTTATTGACGATGTTTTTGCCTTCCAATCTACCTGCTTTGGGTTACGGCGGGTGTGCGCCGGCCTAACATCCTTCACCGACATGTGGCGGCACAGGTTTGCTGGCGGGCGGAAACGGGCCAGCTTCATGGCTCTTGGCACACAGGTGCCCAGTGACGAAGAACTGGAGGTAGTGGGTGATGCCAAGCCCGAACATGTGTCAGCAATGTCAGTTCTAGGCGCGTTGATTGATGCTGACTTGACATTGAACCAATTTGTGGATCAGGCGGTTGGGCGGTTGGTTTCTGACAGTTGTGCCCTCCTGGCTACACTGCGTGACATAGGCTTAGGTATCCCGCATCAGGTAACAGCGATCCCCTTGCGGGTGGAACCAAGTGCACTTTTCAATATTGAGCTTTGCGCTAGCGCTGACACGGGTTGGGCTGCAGTGGCCAAAAAACTCAATGCTACCCAATATGCTATATTAAAAAATATCTTGGAAGGCGATGGGACATCTTTCGGCACAGGTGGGCACCGACTGCCTTGGGGGTCCGCTCCCGCCTCAGCACCAAGGTGGCCATCCAAATTGTTTGTTACTAGAAGCGATGCACTTGTTCCTAATAGCTTCTTGTTACTA